TTGCTATCACTTCTTATGCATCAGAGAGTTGGACGACTAAGGAGGATAGAAGGAGAACTGATGCCTTTGAGCTTTGGTGCTGGAGAAGAGTATTGAGGGTACCATGGACTGCTAGGAAAACAGATTGAGCCTAGAGAGGGTTAAACCGAGTGGCTCCTTGGAGGCAAGGATTCTGAGGCTTCGTCTAATATAGTTTGGACATGTTGTAAGGAGGGACTGACTGGTCCTTGGAGAGGGACATCATGGTTGGGAGGGGGGAGGGGGGAGGGACAGCGCAAGAGGGGAAGACCCTCTATGAGGTGGATTGATTCAGTGACTGGGGTAATCGAGATGAGTATGTCAGAAACAGTGAGATTGGCACAGGACAGAGCAGGGTTTAGGGCTGTTGTACATAGGGTCGCTATGAGTCGCAAGCAACTAGGCACATAACGACAACATATTCACGTGGGATATTGATATAAAATGTCCCCTTTTTTGGTGGCATCTATACCTGGCTTGATAGAATGAATCTGGAAATACTTAATCCTTTTCTGTGTTACGGAATAGTTTGAGAATTGATGTGAACTTCTCTCTAAATATAGTGTAGAGTTCTCCAATAAAGCCACCTGGGCTAGGGCTTTTTTTCCTATTGTGACTTTTTATTAACCTCTTCTATTTCTTCGTTACTTTCCACTTTATACCTGTCTCTATTCGTTTAGGCTTTCAAATCTGTTGCTAGTATTTTCATTCTTCAATTTTAATTGGTTCATCATCCATTTATGCTAGTGGCATCATCTCATATACCCCTTTTTATCAATGGATTTTCACTTTAATCCTTCCAAAAACCAACTTCTACTCTTGTTTTCTGTTTATTTCTACTCTAATATTTCCTCTTGTCTATTGACTATGGGCTTTTAAACTTCCTCCTTTCTCTGCTATTGTTCTTTCTGACGTTGTTAAGTGCCATTGAGTACAACTGATAGTGACACTATTAAAAACAGATCTGAATCCTTTCCTATCCTGTGTCATCCTCATCATCTCTGACACAGTAGAGCCTATTGCTGCAGTCACTGTGTCAATCTATCTCACTGAGGGTCTTCGAAGCTTATGTTCCTCTCCAAGGAGGAGCCTCCCCTAACATGTCCAAAGTATATGAGACAAAGCTTCATCATTCAAGCAGCACTCTGGATTCACCTTCTCCAAGACATAGCTGCTTGTTCTTTTGGAAGTCCATGGGATTGCTATCAGCACTCTTCTCCAACACCACAACTCAAAGGCATCAATTCTTCTTCTGTCCTCTTTATTCATTGTCCAGCTCTTAGATGCACAGGTAACTGGAAAGACTATGGTTTGAATCAGGTTCACCTTAGTCTTTAGAATGACATGACAGCTCTTGACGTTGAAGAGGTTCCTGATAGCAGACTTTCCAAATACGATACATCTCCAGATCTCCTGACTGCTGATACCAGGAGTGTTGATTTTAGATCTAAGTAACATGAAATTGTGGACAATTTCAATCTTCTCTCCATCTTAGTTCCAATAGTGAAGATTTTTGTTTTCTTGATGTTGTGATGTAATCCATATTAAAAACTGCAGTCCTTTGTCCTTTGCAATTAAGTACTACAGTTACTCCTCACTTTCAGCTAGGAAGGTTGTGTCCCCTGCATAACACAGGTTGTTGATGAGTCTTCCTCTGATCCCAATGCCACACTCTACTTCATAAAGTCTATCTTCTCTATAGGTATGTCATAGAACAAGTTGTAATGGGTTCTTCCCAATTCTATTTTCTAGAAGTTATAAAGAATAAGGATTATTTCTTCCCTAGCAGAGTCAAAATCAACTGGGTTTGTTGCTTTCTTTTTTTGAAGATTAATTGAGTCAATTTAACATATATAGGCAATTTCACTTTGAGTATTTTGATAAAATTGTCTTACAAGGAATGGTCTATCTGATATATAAAACATGGCGACAGAACTGTTCGAGTCTTCATCAAATCTTCATCTTTCCCATGTTCTTGAGATCAATAGTGATAAACATTCTTTCAACTCTTTAATTTCAGTTTCTCTTTTTTTCTTTCCTAACCTAAAGGTTTTTCAGTTTTATCAACAAAGAACTTCCTTTTCTTTTTGTAGATTTTCTCTCCATTTCAATAGTTTGATAGAATTATTTTCCTTATTAGCCAGCTGGACTTGGTTTAGTTGATCCCAATTTTGCTGGCAACATCTAAAGCATCATAGTCAGGAGGAAGTTGGATAGGCCTTCTCTCCATCAGGCCTAATGAAGTGTTGACCTTGGCCACATCAATGTCACCGAGCTTCTTTACAGCTTGTTTGATTTGGTGCTTGTTTGGCCTTGACATCCACAATGAACACAAGTGTGTTATTATTATCTATCTTCTTCATGGCTGGCAAAGTGGTCAGCAGAACCTTGATGATGGTTTAGTAGTCAAGTTTGTTTCTCCTGGGGCCGTTCTGTGGGTATTTGGGCTGCCTTCAGGGTCTCAGCATCTTAGTTCACCAAAGGTGGGTGATTTGCAGATCTTTTTTTTTCGTGGTTGTAGATGCCCTCAGGACTGCCTTCTTGGCCTTCGACACCTTTGCTTTGGATTCAGTTTTGGGAGAGTGGCAAAGGCTTCCTTCTTCACTGTGGGAACCCTCTTCATAGAAAGGCTCTCCTAAAGTGAAAGCTGAAAGTACTAATTTTAGAACTTCTCTAATATATGTATTTAATGTTATAAATTTACCTCTAAAGACTGCTTTTCTACACTCTACAAATTCCCATAAATTGTATTTTCATTTGCTTCAAAATGGAACCCCTGGCTGGTACAAATGGTTAAGCACATAGCTAACTGAAAGATTGGCAGCTCAAATTCCTGCAAAGCCACCTCAGAAGAAAGGCCTGCAGATCTACTTCTGAAGGTGCAGTCACTGAAAATTCTATGGGGATCCAGAGGTCACCAAGATTCAAAATCAACTCAGTTTTAATAGGCTTGGCTTTTGGGTTTATTCCTAGCAGTTTCCCTGAGAAACAACTGATAACGTCAATTCCCTTTGACCTGAAGAATGTTCTAGGCATATTTCACAACAGTTTAATCAGGATGGATGGTGAAGAGATTGAGATTGTTAACAACTTTAGTCTGCTTGGTTCCAGTCAACACTCTTGGCACCAGCAGCTAGGAAATTAAAAGACATATTGCGATGGTAAAGTCTGCTATTAGGGACCTCTCCAAAGTACTGAAGAGCAATGGTGTCTCTCTGGAGACTAAGGGGTGTCTGTTACAGACCATGGTCTCTGCAATCACTTGTTATGCATCAGAGAGCTGGACAATGACTAAGGAGGATAGAATTGATGCCTTTGAGCTGTGGTGCTGGAGAAGAGTATTGAATGTACCATGGAATGCCAAGAAAACAAACAGATTTATCCTGAAGAGGGTTAAACTGGCCTGCTCCTTGGAGGCAAGGATTCTGGGGCTTCGTCTGACATACTTTGGACATGTTGTAAGGAGAGACAGGTCTTTAGAGAGGGACATCATGCTTGGGAGGGTGGAGGGACAGCGTAGGAGGGGAAGACCCTCTATGAGGTGGACTGATTCAGTGACTGGGGTAATCAGGATGGGTGTGTCGGAGGCAGTGCGACTGCACAGATAGAGCAGGGCTTAGGGCTATTGTACATAGGGTTGCTATGAGTCGCAAGTAATTAGACGGCACATAACAACAAAACAACAACTATAACATGGGAATTTTTCTGTAATGTTGTTGCTGTTTTTAGGTGCCACTGAGTTGATTCTCAACTCCTGGAGGCTCAACCGACAAAGCAGAATGCATAGTGTTTTCTTGGCTGTGATCTTTACAGGAGCTGTGGCTGGGTAAGTTTGGTCAATCTTTCAATTAGCAAGCACTTTACTATTACAATAACAGGACCTAAGATTTAGGAAAACAAGCAAGCAAAAAACAGTTGCTATCAGGAGGCCTTCCAACCCCATGTATGTCAGAGTAGTAAAGTGCTTACAATAGCTGATTTTTCAGAGACAGATTGTCGAGACTTTCTCCTGAGGCCTATCTGGACTTGTTCAAAAATTCAGTCTCTTAGCAGCTGAATTAGCTGGGTTAGTCTGCACCAACAAGGAGCCCATGCCCAGTTTCTAGTCATTCATCACGTGCAACTCTTTTCAGCAGCTTATGCTTCTGATAAATTACATCTAGGCTGTGGTTTTCTTTATCCGATTGTTTCTCTAGTTTTAGTGATTAAGAGTTTGAGCTGTGTGACTTGAATTCTCTGTTGGATCAAAGAAAAAGTCTTCATTTTCCTTTTGTTCAGGTTTTGTGTTGAAAGGAGTGACGAATTTTAAGTTCTTTAAGTGTTGGAGTAAAAATCGGATGATACCATATACTTGTTTTTAAAAATGGTTTCTCATTTTACCCATGAAGCTATTGAGTAATTAGACTTGGCCAACTTCTCACTGCTGAATAAAGAGCTGTCCAGCACTGTGTGAAACTCGAGCATTCCATTTACTGTCTACTGGCTCTGGGACTCCGAATGTCTGAAAAACAAGTACTGTGGCTGATTTATTTCCAGACTATGATATAAAACAGTATCTACTAAACTCATAAGAAAAAGGGAAAACATACAGTTTGCTAATTAAAACCAACGTACTATTTTTATTTGGCTCATTTCTCCATTTATTAGAATAACCACATTTGGAGAGGCACAAAGCACTTAAGCTTTACATGACTACAAAGTTACCACAAATTCCAAACTTTTTTAGTCACAGATATTTCACTTACTCCATTTAAAGAAAAAGCTTTCAAAACATCTGAGTCGGCCTGATACACAGAGACTCTAAATATATGGAAACTACATAGTTTTAAATGCTTGCATTTTCTGCCCTAATGTCCGAAAGTTGAATCCAGCATAAAAGGGATTGAAATGTGTAAGGTCATGATGCAAATGCTCCGGAGACAAGTGAAATTGATCTGTACAACATGGAAAAAGATGTAGTGTGCACAGAGCTTTGAAAGGGCTCACTGAGCCATCTGGGCCTCCATGGCTTGTGCAGTCCATTCTGGCGCTGTCTGACTGATTTTCTCCAAAAGGTTATTCACTTGGAAACAAAGTGATTGAATCTGTTTGTCCCACGTTGGCAAGGCTTCTCGTGCTAAAGGGGGGAAAAAAGGAATAAATGTACCAAACTGGGATTACTCCATTGTGTTCATAGCAAATGCAAGCTCAAAGATAAATGCAGTTCAATTAACATTTAACTCCAAAACTACTGGCTAATGAGATTAAGCTAATTAAGCAATAATTAAGTTAAGTAAGAGACTCAAATCACTGGCATATAATATAAAACCAGACAGAAAAACCACACACACATTCATGAAAGCATATGAAAAAATTTTAAAAAATCAACAACCCATCAACCTCTGTCACAATCATAACAGAAGAACCTCCTGACAAAGACTGAGTCGAAGACAATGTTTCATTACACACTGCCACCTACTGGGAAAAGCAAATTAATTCATATATTCGAGACACTTCAGTTGATTCGGCTGGGTAAATATTTTAACTTTTATAACACCCGTCCACCTTAAAACAAACAAAAATCATCTTTTAACTCAAAAGCTTCTACTAGAAATCTCCAGTTTAAAAAAAATATGGGAGAAAATGCCACTCAAAACAGTATCCAATTTTACAGAGAAAGCACAGAATTAATGAAGGGAAAATTACTACAAAATCTTAAATGAAAGGACATAAAATAACTTGAATGGATACAATTTTCTCAGATGGAAAATACGTAATATTACAAACATCAGATATTCCCTACTGAACACATAATTTTAAAGAAAATCCAAGGAAAATTCATTTTTTCATGTTTTCCTTTCTATGCTAGAAAAAATTATTTCAGTATAAAAGAATTAGCAATCAGAGAATAAATGAGATATATCTGGAAATTAGAAGTAGCGGTGACAGGGCATACTGTCTTACCACAGAGGGAAGAATAGCGGGAGAAGCTCAACATCGGCTGTGAAAACGAGATCAGGTGCTGACTGTGGAACAGACCACTACTCATATGCAAGTTCAAACTGAAGCTAAAGAAAGTTAAAACAAATCCACAGGAAATGAAATTTGATCTTGAGTCTATCCCATTTAATTTTAAAATCATCTCAGGAACAGTTTTGAGGGCTTGAACACTAATGAGCTAAGACCAGATGAACTGTGGGAGGATATCAAGAATATCACCCACAAATAATGCAAAAGATCATTACAAAGAGAGAGGAGGAAGAAAAGACCAAGATGAATGTTAGATGACTGCACTAGAGCACCGAAAAGCCCTAGAAGAGGGAAGAAATCAAGAAATTAAGGAGCTGAACAGATTTCAAAGGGCATCATGGGAAGAAAAAAGCAAGTATTATAATAAAGTGGGCAAAGAGCTGGAGTCAGAAAATCAAAAGGGCCAAACTGGCTCAATTATTTCTTAAGTTAAAGGAATTAAAAAACAAATTCAAGCCTCGAGCTGCAATACTTAAGGATGCTTCGGGCAGAATATTAAATGATCCAGGAAGCATTACAGGAAGATGGAAGGAGTATACAGAGGCTCAAAAAGAATTGGTTGACACAGAATAATTTCATGAAACAACATATGAGCAAGAGCCTGTGGTGATGAAGGAAGCTACTCTGAAGGAACTGGCAAAAAACATGGCCCCACATTTCAATAAAAAGATGCTGCCCTGAATGTGCTCACCAAGCTGTGCCAAGAAATAGGAAGGACAACTATATGGCCAACTGATTAGGAGAGATCTATATTTGCTCCCATTCCAAAGAAAGGTGACCTGACAGTGTGGAAATTATCGAGCAATATCATTAATTCACATGCAAGCAGGATTCTGAAAATTATCCAGAAATGGCACATCGACAGAGACTGCTAGATGTGCAGACAGGTTTTAGAAGAGGTCATGGAACTAGGGATATCATAGCTAATGTTAGATGAATCTTGGCTGAGAGCACAGAGTACCAGAAGAATGTCTGTGTTTTATTCACTATGGAAAGGCATTTGACTGTGTGGATCACAACAAACTGTGGCTAACTCTGAGAAGAATGGGAATCCCAGAACACTTGCTTGTGCTTATGTGAAACCTATACTTGGACCAGGAAGCAGTCATCAAAACAAAGCAAGGAAACACTGCATGGTTCAAAATCGGGAAGGGGATACGTCAGGGATGTGTCCTATCACCATACCTTTTCAATCTATAATGCGGAGCAGATCATTAGAGAGACTGGGCTCTGTGAGGAGAAATGTGGCATCAGGATTAGAGGTAGACTCATCAACAACCTGCATTATGCAGATGACACACCCTGCTTGCAGAAATTGAGGAAGACCTGAAGCACTTACTGCAGAAGGTCAAAGACTACAGCCTTCAATATGGATTGAAGCTCAACATCAAGAAAACAAACATTGTCACCAATGGGCCAAGTGGCAGCATCATGATAGACAGTCAAGAGATTGAGATTGTTAACAGCTTTAGTTTGCTTGTCTCCACAATCAACACTCTTAGTACCAGCAGTCAAGAGATCAAAAGACAAATTGCACTGGCAAAGTGTGCTGTCAGGACATCTCTAGAGTACTGAAGAGCAATGATATCTGTCTGGAGACTAAAGTGTACCCGATCCAGGCCATAGTCTTCACAACTATGTGCTATGCATCAGAAAGTTGGACAATGACTAGGGATGATAGGAGAATTGATGCCTGTGAGCTGCGGTGCTGTAGAAAAGTATTAAATATATTATGGACTACTTTCATTGTTTTTTGTTCAGACATTCCTCTAGGTCATATAGCCCTGGTGTACAAGTTGCCATACAGCGGTAACCTGTGGTTGCCGTGAGGCTGAACACTGTGACATTGATGTGTCAAGTGCGTTAAAGGTTGGGTACCCAATGCAGACAGAATGGGGTGGAGCTCCCCGATTAAAACACGCTTAGAGGGAGGAATGGCATCCACTTCCGTAATAGCTTGCCTCCAGAAACACTATGAACCTGGAGAGAGGATGAAAGACACCCAAGCGTCGAGGACTCGCCTTCATAGGGTTGCTATGAGTCGCCTGCAACATGATGGCATTTAACAACAACAAACAACATGACTACTGAACAAACCGGTACATCCTGAAGAGGGTAAAACCAGGGTGTTCCTTGGAGGCAAAGACTGTGAAGCTCCGTCTGACATACTTTGGGCATGTTACAAGGAGGGACCAGTCTTGGAGAAGGGCATTATGCTTGGGAGGGTGGAGGGACAGCACAGGAGAGGAAGACCCTCAATGAAATGGACTGACTCAGTGATGGGGTAATGAGCAAGTGTCAGAGACACCAAGGTTAGCTCAAAATAGAGCAGAGTTCAGAGCTGCTGTACAAAGGGTCACTGTGAGTTGCAGGCTACTGGATGACACATAACAACAATATTATCATACTGTTAGAGAATGTTGTTAAATACCACTGAGTAGGAATCTTGGAGGTTTTTCAAAGGCTGGAAACTGCATGGGATCAGATTGTTCATCTTTTTCCTGGAGAGCAGCTGGTGGATTCGAACTTCATGCCTTTGGGCTGCTCACGACTAAGCCAATGAAATTAGATACCAGATATAAAAATCTAAGTACACATGAGGAGCTTAATATACTCCAAAGATCATGGTTCAGTCAGAAAGCATGTCCTATTTAATAGGTCATGGATGCCTAATTAGATATCCATCTAGGGAAAAAAAGAACCAGTCCTTACCCTAAAACTGTAAAAACTATTTAAAAAAGAATAGTAGATAAATTTCTAAATACAAAGTGATATATAAATATATTAGAAGAAATTTTAGAAAAATACTAGCTTTACTAAAAGGTATAAGCAAGCATGGCTATCAGACTAAAGTGTGCATGATTCAAGCCACGGTCTTTTCAATGGCTTCCTATGCATCTGAAAGTTGGACAGACAAAGCAGACAAAGCAGAATCATGCCTCTGAACTTTGATGTTGGAGAAAAGTAATGAATATCCCATGGACTGCCAAAAGGGAGGGGGAAAAAAACCAACCTAACTTGCAGAAAATGCAAGAAGAGTGCCCTGAGGCATGGGTGGTCAAACTTCTTCACATACTTTGGGCATATTTTCAGGAGGGGCTAAGCCTTGGAAAAGACACCACGCTAGGAAAAATGGAGGGTCAGAGAAAGAGAGAAAGACCCTCAATGAGATGAACTACCATCTCATAATAACTACCTCAATGGGCTGGAGCATGACAGAGGCCAGGAGGATGGCCCAGGACAGGGCAAGGTTTAGACCTGTAGTTGACAAGGATTCTATGAGTCAGTCAGTCAACTTAATGGCACCTAACAACAGCAATGGGGAGATTTTCCTAATCAAAACAAAAAAAAGTCAAAGGCTTAAAATAAAAAGGTGGCATATTTAGTTGTTTAACGATAAAAATACACTTACTGTGTTTATCACTTAACAGAAACACGAAGGGCAAAATGGGTAAAATCTGTGTTAACATATTATATATGCACAACTAAAATTATCACCATACCTAAAGGTATGGGAAATGTAAATGACTGTGCAGTTCTGGATTATAAATTGTTAATATTTATTAGAATAAAAACATTCTCAGTTTATGGGGGGAAAAAAACCACCACACTTTTGAGGTTCTGCTATACTAAGCACTAGTAGATAAAATACGTACACAAAATAACCTCAATGTTCATCAACAGACAAATAGATCAATTGTAGAAAATACTATGCAGCTAGTAAAACAGGAATTCTGGTAATACAATCCACGAGGAGCTGCACTGCTCACCCTAAGGTGGCACCTCTCTGGCAGGTGAAATTTGCCAGTGGCTCCAAAGGAGCAAGATGGGCAATCTCTTCCTGTGCAACTTCGGGCCTCTGACCCCCTGCTGGAGGGTCTGCTTTGAGTCAGGTCAAATTCAAAAGCAACTTTTATTTAGTCTACCATTAAAACAAAAATCAAATTTACATCTAGTTAGAAAAAGTTACAGTTTAAAATAATTTTGATTAATGCTAGGAAAAAATTCAAGATAGCATAAGAAAGTAAATTTTACAAACTTATCTCAAATCTGGACTATTAGGAAAATCACTGTCAATTAAGCAGTATTCATCTGAGACACAAGAAC